TACATAACCCCATTCCTTTCCCTCATATTTCTTTTCTATAATGCTTGCTTTGTGTGTGCCAAACTGCTAATTAAAAAACTGGGCCACACCCCTAACTCCCAATACTTCTCATTGAGATAAATTTGGAAAACAACTGAAGATTTGATAAGTTTTATTTTATCAAGAGTATGAGTTTTTCAACAGCTGTATTTGGTAATAACCATACATACTAACACAATCCAGAAAAAATGGCTCAACACTTTTGTCTTTGTAGACACAAAAGATTTTTAAAGTTAAAATTATAGATATTTTTGTTGCAGTTATTTATAATCATATGCAAAATATTAAAAAATATTTTGAGATAAAAGAAGTTAAGGGGAATATTTGCTGGTAAAGTTATAGCTGTTAGAAAAAAGTTTGTGCACAGTCCTCACAGTGATAGGATAATATGAAAAAAGAGACAGGAGAAAAGCTTGTTTATGTACATGGATTTCTTGTTTGTTTTTCAGTCATTGATGGTAACAAATTACTAATGTTAGATCTCATTGAATAGGCTACAGCACTTACTTTTATATATAACTATTGTGCACATAAACAAACAGCATGCGTGTATGTGCGGGTGTGTGGGGGTCAGAACACAGCTTTGTCAGTTGGTTCTCCCCTTTACCTGACCTCTGGCAATACAGTTCAGATCTTCAGGCTCATGGGCGTCTTGTCAGGAGCTTTAATGGCGATATATACCATGTTCTGGAAAGTTGTGTCCTTGTCACTTATTTAAACGTAAGATGAGAAATTGTAGATGTCACATTAGAAGTCTGAAGGTTCTGACTTGTCTTTTCCTCTGTTTGCACTTATTTATAGTACAGAACCTTCTGGCTGTGAGCCTTAGCCCTGGGATGAGAGTGCCGCTGCCTGCAAAGAGGAGCCACGGGTTCCAGTCTTTGTGCAGTTCACAGGACTCTCAGACAACGTGCTGCTCATACCAAGTGTTATGTCAGATAAAGTTATTGAATTAATGCATTTCACCAGAAGGAGCCATCATTCCTTCCCTGCCGCCCCCTGCCTTTAAGTCAGCTTTTGTTCTAACTGAAGACAAAATGGCTGCCAGATGGAAGGAAGATTTGGGCTTAAAGAATAGTTCATTTTTTATCCCTAAAATAAGGATAAGGAAAATAACTTTGAGAAAAAAAATTCACAGTTAATCAATATAATTTTTAATTTTTTATTAGTGTGGGTATTTTCCATATAAACTAAGGCAGCACCAAGCATTCAGAAATGTACTTATGGGCAAAAAAATAGTAGTTGTATGTAAATTTCTAACTTAAGGCCAGTTTCATTTTATGATAATTTAAAAAATGTACAAGTTAGAAATCAATACAAACACCGTTAGAGGGATCAGAGTGGCTGGCTCTCCTGCTTATGATCCTAATGTAGAATTCAGTGGAAACCATAGGCACATGTAGCTCACACTTCATGCACTGTCTTCATTTAGGACACTGGATGCACAGATATTGCCTGACAATTGTTTATCTGCCACTTGTGTAACAAGGTGACAAAAAACATATTTGGTGTATATACACTGGTAAATAACATTTTTACAATTTTAAGGAATTATTAACAAGCTTTGATTTTTGTCCTGCGATTGTAATCCATATACATGTATGTATATATATAACATTTAAATACAATATGCAGCATTTTATTTTGTATTTAATATTTCCAAAGAAATAATATTATATATAGACCCCTTAATGTAATATAACTTAGACAAAAATACGTTTTAAAAACAAAATAAAAACTCTTATAGTTAGATTCCATGGTATTTTATCATTGACTTGTGATATTTTTCCCTTGAAGTAAGAAAATATTATCTTGAACTTATCAACTCCATTTATTTAAAAGAACAACTGGATCTGTCTTCTATGCCACAATCTTTATCTTGACAACATTTCTGTGAACACCAGTTTTAAGTACCATTGTGGAGCACCCCTCTATCCTAGGTCCTATAGTTCTATATTTGATTCTCATGTCTGTTTGTTGAGGTAGGAGATGATATCATGTACCTTCAGTGAATGCATCTGAAAGAAGGTGAAAGGTATGCATGAGTCATGAATTCCCTTGTCTTTCTTAAGTCTCCATTGGATGGTAAGTTCCATAAAGTGTGTGAACAATGTCTCACTACAGCTCAGAACATATTACAGAGTGGATCGTGCCTAGGAAGGCTAGGAATAGAAACTTAGACAAAACCCTTTCTTGGGTGCCCAGACAGCAGACAATAATGAGGTGCAACAGTTATGTGGCCAGATCAAGAAGTCTAGTCGTACTTCAGACAAGGTGAGAGAAAAATCACCTTTGTAAAGACTGTAGAGTATGAAAATAGTGTTACAAAAATGATACCTGGAAGTTGAACATTCAAAATTACATCTAATTTTCCTGGAAATTAATGTGAGTAGTGGCAGCTTTGTGATTTACCATTGAAGGCCAGTAGTTTTTTTTTTTTTTTTTTGAGTATGTTAACTAGTACATTGGTCACCATCATTTAAAGCTTTATTCACTTTCTGTTTCCTCAGCACATGAATAGGGTTGATCATTGATACTGATGGCTCTGCATCCTCACATGGAGTTTTAAATTACGTCTGCAATGAGCATGCATGGATGTTTTTCTCAGCATTAATCTCTAAACAATAGAGCATAGTGACAATTTGCATGTGTTCACATTGTCTATGAGGAAATTTAGAGATGATTTAGAATCTGTGGAGGATGCTTCACTTTCTCTAAGTCCTTGAGCATCTGTTGGTCTTGAGATGTGCAGTGTGAATGGGGAATGCCCATCTTAGCCAGGGTACAATATAGGATACTTACATTTCTGAGACAGAAAACTTGAGGATTGGAATATCTTGAATTTGAGGTCAGTTAAAAGTAACTAGTTATAACTTAAAAGTGATCTTTGGAATTCCTTTGAAAAACTTTACTACTTTATTCTCTCAGAGAATGGGGCAGGGACCATGATTTGATAGAAAGCACATCCATCCATGTAAAAATATTCAGCTCCTGCATCACTTATTGGAACCATGAGCTTCCCAGAGGCTATCAGCATTCTGAATGCAGTAGAGGATTAGAGCCATGCCTCACACAGAGAGAGCCTGGCAAAAAGTCTCCACAGCTTAAACTTACTTTTGTTTGGCTTCTGAAATTTCAAGTTAAAAAAAAAAGTCACCCAAATTGTCCACAAAGGAGTAAAAAAAAACAAAGTAAAAAAAATAGAAATAATTTCCTGTTGGTTTGGACTGTATGTTTGTGAACAAGTCTGACCAAGAATAAGCAAACAAAACACAAGAAAAAGTCAAGCATGGTGGCACTCACCTGTAATTCCACACCCTGGAGGCAGAGGCAGGAGGATTAACACAAGTTGGAGGCCAGTCTGGTCTACACAGGGGTTCCAGATCACTACACAAACCCTTTCTTAAACAAATAGAGAGATGGGGCAGGGAGAGGGAAGGAGGGAGGGAGGGAGGGAGGAAGAGAGACAGGAAGGAGGAAAGGAAATGTGTTCAGTGAGCTTCTCCATGTGTCAGGAGTACCTTTTTTACAGGTGCTTTTCACTGGGTGGGTTTGGTGGCACTTGGGAAGTAGGGGCAGGAGTTCAAGAGCCCAGCCTAGGCTTCATGAAACATTGACTTGATCCCTCCCCCAGATGAAAAAATTAATAGTTTTCTGCCAACATGCATCTGTCTGTCCATCCATCCATCCATCCAGCCAGCCAGCCAGCCAGCCAGCCATCATTCATCCATCCATGAGTGATTGATCTCCTGCTCTACTTTGTAGGGGAAACAGCTTGGAGACATTTTGGTTGCCTGTGTGTCCCTAACTGTAATTAGGGACAGTGTTTCCAATCTGTTCACACACGTGAGGGCACAATGAATGTTAGTGCCAACAAGAAGGTAGTTTATAAAGGACCTGTGCATGGTAAAGACAGAGACAAAGTTGAAAAGGAACGACTGTGGCGAGCCAGGGAGCCCAGTTGGTGTTTCCAGAGAAATTAAAGAGGGTTTGTATTAGGTCTGAAAATCAACTTCTTCTGACAAATCTTAATTAAAATTTTTTTAAACAAATAGAGCAACCTGTTATTCCAAAATTCCCTGTGAGATTGATCCAATTTATTTAGAGTTTGGATACAAAATGCCTGACTCCTGATGGTTTAAGTGTGTCTTATAACACCTCAGACAAAAACGCTAGTGGGCAAATAAAATAAAACAAATAAAAGTATAGCACAAAGGACTGAAGTGGTGAGGAACTAACACGGTTTGGACACTAATATTAACTGATAATCTAGGCTCTGCAGCTAGGAAAGGCGAGTGTTAATTACAAAATACATCAAAGAAACTAAAATGTTTTCTCTTACTATAGGAAGATTTTGGTAGCTATAAAATAGTTTTTCATCACAAATATAGTTTAATATACTCAGCTATTCTATATAAAAATATGGAAAAATAATTTTAAGCAAAACACAAACGCTAATCCAGTGAGAGAGGCCGAGGAAGGATAACAGTAATGTCAGTTGAACACGAGCCTTGCGGACACAGCCATGTCCTTCAGCGTCAGACCTGTGACTAAGAAAATTCCAATTTAATCATATTTAAATATATAGATATCACTTGTAGCTTCAGTAGTCACACGCTTCAAAAAGCAATGATATGTTATATCAAAAGCACTTCAATTTCAGTTTAAAAAAAACGAACAGGGCTAGGAAAATCGTAACACACTTTCCCTGTAGAGTATCAAATTAACAACAGCCCTGTTGGTTTACTTTATTAGGAGTTTTACCGTCAAAAAATAGATTCTCTAAGTTAAAAAAATATACTTTCTTTGGTAATATTTGTTGACATTTCCGATCAGTCTACAAATTCTTCAAAAGATATAAAACAAAACTCTTGGGTGTAGGCGTACACTCTTGAAGGGATTGGTTAAGAGGGAACACGTGGTCCCCTCTTCTCTGTCCCTGGGCTTTAGACAGGTCACCCTCAGGCAGTCTCTGAAGCCCCCAGGAATTGCATTTGTACAGCAGCTTTGGGTGGTGGGGCCGAACCACTTTTCTTCTGGAATTCTGCAGCGATTTCCTCAAAAGACTTTCCTTTGGTCTCTGGAACTTTAAAAAATGTAAACAGGGTGAAGGCCAGGACGACCCCAGCGAAGAGGAAGAACACGTAAGGCCCGCAGAAATCCTGCAAGGAGAGCAAACAGATGTGGTCAGCAGCTGCACGGCCTGCCGGGTCCTCGGGGCTTGCACAGCGTGGGCGCTTACCGCGATGTACTGGAAGCAGAGAGCGATAATGAAATTGCAAAACCAGTTGCTGAAGGCGGCCAGGGCCAGAGCAGTGGGGCGGGGTCCTTGGCTGAAAAATTCAGCAACCATGAACCAAGGGATTGGACCTGGTCCAATCTCAAAGAAACTGACGAAAAGGAAAATGGCTGACATGCTCACGTAACTCATCCAGGAGAATTTATCCTGAAGACAAAGAGAAAGTTGTGAGTGGGACAGGCGGCCGTCGGCTGCCGCCTTCCTGAGTTTAGCAGCTTCTGAGTTCTCTCAGGCTTATGTGTTTATTTTTTATCAAGTTCAAGTTACTCTGGTTGAAACAAGTTAGTCCAACCCAAGTCTTGCTTCTGTATTTGGAGCCCCTGCCCAGCCAATCTCTTGCAATAGGGCTTTTTGAATTTTGTTCCATAGTTAATCTTTCCCTGTGACAATCAAGAAGACCCAGAACCCTATGGTCTTCCTACCAAGATGGCCAGAGAGGTTCGACTCCCTGTGAAGGGCAGCGTGAAGACGCTGGGACAGGAGGGAGGGTCAGGGACCTGCCCATGGTTATAACCGCAGGCAGCCACCCGCCGTGCAGCATTTCTGCTGCCCTGGACAGGACTGGCATGCTGGCACTCCAGTCTCTGACTCCAAGAAGATGGTTCCCCTTTCCCTTACATTTCTCCTCTTCGTTTACTTCGTAAGTCAGTCTCCAGCACTTGTTACGTGTAGAGCTCTCTAGCCCGGAGGCCAGAGATGTCTGCCTGTGTCCAGGCAGCAAACTCACCAGCAGCACAAGGCCCACAGACATGAAGATGGCGCAGAAAAACATCCCAGCCATTCCAGCTAGAAACAGGGACCTCCGCCCGGCCTTCTCCACCAGCAGTACCTAGGGAAGTTAACGCATCATCTCAGTATCCTGTGCCAAGCGATGCTGTCTCTGTACTTGTACACTTTCCCTGTAAAGAGCTTGTCTTATTGTATGTAGTGGGGTGGAGACAGGGCTGTGACCCCATTTTACAGATATACAACTTGTGTGTGATGACGGTGCTAGCCTTGGTAGACAGTGGTAGTTAAACATGGGCTTCGTTTGACCACATTGACTTGAGAAGTTCCCAACACTCTGGGGCCGTCCCTTTGAATACAGGAGTGAGAGGCTGTACATCCTGGTGCCTCATAGGACTATCTCTACAGTGAAGCTGTGAAAGATGTACATTTATCAGGGCTGGGGTGGTAGCTCAGGGGCAGCTTACTTGCCTCGTACACACAGGCCCTGGATTCAAGAACTGTTAAAGGAAACGGTGACCCGGTTTCTCACTTGCTCATTTAATCATTACCAGGTTTCATGTGCCACAGACATCTGAGACAGTACAGCTGTTCAGATGTCAACCATTCTCATCCAGCTTCTCAGTGTTGAATGAGTTCAGGTTATGACTGCTTACCTGAGGATGTACAGTGAATGTGATCACTGCACCAAAACAATGAGCTCTGTGTTTCCCTGGTGTGCTTACGCATACCTGTGGTGGGAGTGAACTGCTGTGTATTTGGAAAGAGAGGACATCACAGCAAGATGTTACAGTGCTTCTTCATGGTGGCCAAGGAGACCTATCATCAGTCTTTGAGTTATGAATCTTTGCATCAATTACTAAGATTGACTATTAGCCAAGATCAACATTGTTTTGACTAGAGCTGACCCTTGGGATCTTGTCAACACTGGCCACACACACACACACACACACACACACCATAATTTCCCATCTCGGTGAGCAAACTGTCCATGCTCATCAATCTAAGTGAGTCAACAGCAAAGCAACACCCAGAGCAGGCTGAGCTCTGTGTCTGCAGACATCTGTGGAGCATTTCATTTGTCTTCACCTGCAGTGAAAGCCCTTATCTCAGAGGCACACTCAGACCTGTGTTTCAGATCACTCTAGAAAGGACGACAAGCCGAGCGCCTACATTTCCTTACTAAGAAGTAAGCGAGAAAAACATTCCTATATATTTCTTAAAAATTATTTCATTTTACATATGTGCTTGTATGTCTGCACATCGTATTCCCACAGTGCTTGTAGGTGGAAGCGGGCCATCAAATCCCCTGGAACTGGAGTTAAAGGTGGTTGTGAGCTAAGAAGATGGGTGGGTGCTGGGAATTGAACTCAGGCCCTCTGAAAGAGCACCCAGTGCTTTAAACCACTGGGCCATCTCTCTAGCCCTCATACATTTTTGGCTCTTTCAAAGCTAGAGGAATGATACATGATGTTGACATAGTGTTATCAGGATATGAGAAAACAGGAATATTTCTGCAGGAATATCTGTTTCTTCTGTCTATGAAAAATATTAACTGGATAATAAAAGCTAAAAAGCCGGGCGGTGGTGGCGCACGCCTTTAATCCCAGCACTCGGGAGGCAGAGCCAGGCGGATCTCTGTGAGTTCGAGGCCAGCCTGGGCTACCAAGTGAGTCCCAGGAAAGGCGCAAAGCTACACAGAGAAACCCTGTCTCGAAAAACCAAAAAAAATAAAAAAATAAAAAAAATAAAAGCTAAAAAATTGTGTGTTGAAAATTGAGTTGCATTCTCTCCTGGAAGCTAAGTGACACTCAAATGCACATGAGCAGTGGAGAAGCAGGGCCCAGCACTGGGACTTCTGCTGGACCACAGCCCTCATTTCTGCCCAGTCTGCACATCCCTCGGGTCCTGGTGCCTTGCTAGAGCTAGGCAGCTACTGCTTTGCTCCAAGAGCCATCCTGCCTCTCAGTACCCCCACCTTTCTTCCTGTTTTGTTCTTTTCTCAAGATCATAAGCACCCTTCCATCAGCTCATCACTATGGATGAAAGCATAGGGCCTGGACATCATTCACAGTGTAGTTGGGAATGTCTCTGTTTCTCAAGCACTCAGAAAAAATGGGCTAGATGATTTATATTGCTCCTGGGTTAGTGAAAAAAAATCCATGAGTGATGATTCTTTCTGCACAACTTGTTTTCAAGTTCAGGGACAAAACTAATCTCCTTTGTTGTGCTTTGTTATGGTTTGGTTTACTACAATGTCTTGCATGGAGCCTTGCTGTACATGGACTTGAGATCCACCTGCCTCGGCTTCCTGAGTGCTAGGATCACAAGTGTTTACCACCGCTATTCGGAAAACCTAAGTCAAACACTTCAATGCTTTTTGTAATTGTGGAGTTCTAATGAAGTGATTAGAACTGATTTTCTTTGTGTGTCAGCCATCTACTTTAAGACCTTTGTAAAAGAAAAGAATGAACTCAAAATGCTTCATATTCAAAACAATTAAGATGCATATTATGTTTATAATTTATAATAATTATTGATTAAACTGCTCCTCCATTCAATGAGTTTGGATACAGAGGGAAGAAACAAAATTCTGCACAATTTTTTCTTTGTTTTTTTTTCCCTCAGAATTTGAGTTACCCAGTCTTAACAACATGATGCTTTATATAGCAAATCCTATTTTAAGCAACATGTTTTAATAATAATGTCCATTTTGTAGAAAATACCATTTTCAGGAGAAGACAGGACAAAGAGTCCCTTGGACTGTGCCCCAGTAATGGCCTTTACTGATTGCAGCAGCCTTTGGCTCGGATGGTGCTGTCTCTGGAGTGGAGAGTGTAGAAACACAGTATTCTGTTTGGTTTGCGCTCCTTTTGCTCCCCAAGGTCCGGCACTGTGTGACGAGGTCTGGGGAGCCAGGCTGTAATTTATTGACCACCCCAAGGTAATAGTTAAAGTTCGTTTACAGACAATAAGAAACCAAGTGGCAAAATGAGCTGAGTATAGTATTCCGACCAACATTAAAACTCAAAAGCGTTTTGAATGTGTTGTATTCAAAGGTAAGAATCAGTCAAGTTAGTTTCATTTTGAGTGAATTTCATTAGTTGAGAAGTACAAAGACTTATTATTATGTCAAAATATCAAACTAGTCCTTGGCTTTAAAAAAGTAAATAACTTCTTTCTTTTGTTGGAATAGGGAGGGCAATGAAATTTCATGTTTTATTACATATTGGAATGTATCACCAGGAGCTATTTACTTGTGAACTGCCTGGAGGTTCTGCCCAGTGATCTAACATCATAGGAATTTGCCAAGTTTGTTTAATTCTGTTTACAAGCTTAGTTATCTATTAGCTTTTTAAATGTTTTCCCCAAGATACCAGGATGAAATATCTCCACCAGTCAGGGAGAGGCTAGGGAATGCGCCCAATGTTGCTGTAATGGCAAGCTGTCAGCCGGCCCTGAAGTGTTTAAAGAGAGAAGAACCAGAACCTAGAGTCTCATAGAGAGAGAAAGTCTTGCCAGTGAGTTATTAATTCACCAAATGAATGAATGACTGGCACCCTCCACAGTGGGAGAGCCAGTGACTCACCATCCCAGCCAGCCTCATCTTAGAGCAGTGGCTGGTGCCTGCACAGGACTTTCCCCATTGTTCACTTCTCTGTTCACACACAATGCACGTGGACAAAGTTGCTGATACTGTAATCATAAGCCGTCATGCCACCTGCACTCCTGGGCCAAGAACGAGCCCGGTGCTCGTCAGGTTAGTGACTTACAGAGATAGCAGTGAAGATCATGTTGATGGCACCCACGCCTATGGTGGCATACACAGGCTGGCTGACCCCAGCTGTCTGGAAAATGCTGGTTGAGTAGTAAAATATCTGCAAAGTAAGAACAGGCCAGGCTTAAGGGGGGCCTCCAGCTGAGGTCCCCAAAGCAAGGCATATGGCTGTTTATTTTTAGTTTTTGTGGAACCATGCTCTCTAGAATCCTCTAAAGTTTACCCCTACCCTCTTCTCAGACAAGTCTTCCTTCAGTGTTTAAAGCTCCTGGTTGCTTCAAAGTTCTTGGCTTTAGCTGAAAACTCCACTACTTCATTTCCTTTATTTGTTTAATTTCCAAACTTTTTGTTAATGTATAATCATATAACATGTACACACAAGCGAACAGCTCCATTGTGTTAAAAACTAATAACAACCATGTAAAGAGAACCCAGGAAGGACTAACTCATTTCTGATGCTGCAGAACCCCTCTATCCCTTTATCCATTGTCCTAAGGGAATCACTCACCTAACATCTGACATGATAGATGAATTTTGCCAAGTCCTGTACTTGATGTTAATGCATCATACATACTCTCTTGTTTTGGCTTCTTTCGCTAGACATTGTCTCCATGAGGAACCTTTTTGGACACTTCATTGTCCAAATGTGGTATTCTGATATATCTGCATTACTACACTTTAGTTACCCATTCTACTGACGACTGCTCTTTTAGGGTGTTTATGAATAGTGCTGCTTTGGTATATACTTTTTGTTCTTGTATTTTGAGACAGCATCTCTCTATGTAGCCCTGGCTGACCTGGAACTCACTATGTAGATCAGGTTAGCCTCAAACTCATGGAGATCCACCTGCCTCTGCCTCCCAAGTGCTGAGATTAAGGCATGTGCTACCACTCCTGGCAGACATGCACTCTTAGCAGGTATTTTGGTGGAATATGTGAGTATTTATACCCAGAATTTGAATCACTGAATCATAGTGTCTGTTATAAATTCAGCTTTGATATAGATGCTGCCCAACAGTAACCAAAAAGTAATACAATTTTTTTTTCACCAGTGTGTATAACAATTCTATCTATCTATCTATCTATCTATCTATCTATCTATCTATCTATCTATCTATCTATCATCTATCATCCATCTGTCATGTATCTATCTATCTATCTATCTATCTATCTATCTATCTATCTATCTATCATCTACCTACCTACCTACCTATCTATCTGAAGTATACCATCCAAATGGAACTGTGAACTCCTTTTTGTGTAAATTATTAGAAAACTGAGATTTCATATTCTAAGAACCTTTTAATTTAGGTTTGGGGGTTGGTAGCTTAAGTAGTATTCTTTTCTCACCATGCGTCTGTTACAGACTTTGCCTTTCACTTTCACCCCACCTCCCTTGTCTGGTATATGCATGTGTACATGTTTGCATTTGTGCATGTGTTCACTTGAATGCGCATGCATGTGTGTGAAAGGAGGAGGTTAATGATGCATGTCTTCCTCAATCGCTCTTCACCTTATTTTTTGACACAGGGTCTCTTAGAATCTGAAGTTCACTGATTGGTTGGGCTAGCATGCTAATGATCCAGGGATCACCACATCTCCAAAACACAAGCTCTGATGTGCAGTTATGTAGGTGCTTTGTATATGGGTGCTGGGGCTCTGAATTCAGATCTTTACATTGTAGTGATCTGCCAGCCCCATTGCCTTCTTCTTAATGGACCCAAAGTTCTATTGATTGTTGACCTTTTTAAAATATTGAGCTAATTTTAGAGAGCCATTGAAGCAAATCAAGGGAAATCAAGTACTACCGAGCATATATTATAATAATACTTGATGTCAGCGTTTACAAATATGTTTTAGTGACTTAAACCTAAGCCTGTTTCTCTCTGTCTGGGCTCCCTTTGCTCACTTAATGTGAGGAGTTTTAACTTACCCCATTGATTCCGGAAAACTGCTGAGCCATGTGCAGCATTAGCGCCACTATGATTGGCTGTCGGTAGCTGGAGTCTGTGAAGAGCTGCAGCACGGAGACTTTCTGCGCAGTAGATGCCTCTTCCTTTTCTTTTCTCATCTCACTAAGATCTTTGGTGACATCCTCAGTTCCTCTTAGTCTCCTCAAGCCTGATCCCCCAAAACAGGTTGAAACAACCCAGGTCAGACAAAAACAATTTTTTTTTTTGGGTCTGGTCACAAGGGTGCTACAGATCTGCATGCCCCTTTCTTTGACCTTTCTTTGGCAATTCTTCTTCTCTGTTTGGTTAAATTAAATACTGTTCTTTGATTACAGAAAGAAAAGAAAAGCAGAACATCTGACTTCATCTGGAGAGAGAGAGAGAGAGAGAGAACTATGCTCCTCATCACAAAAGCACAGTTCTGAAGGGTGGATTAGGCGCCTCTGGTTAAGCCCAGCAAATGTACAGTATGCCAGGCATGTCTAAGTAAAACAACACAGCAGCCATATCTGTGTGTTCTTCTGAGCAATCGTCGACTTCATCTACAAAGTCCTCATGTTGACTTTATGAGCAGTCATTCACACGTACTATTGGTATTAGCCGCCAATTCCTCAATAACAGAAGCGGGGAGTTCCCCTACACTCACTTTTCTTGGCTTTGATTTCCTCTTCCAGCTTTATATAAAGGTACCGGGGGCTTTCTGGACAGAAGAGGAGTAGGAGACACTGTAAGAGAGCTGGTACGGCAGATAGTCCAAGTAGGATGTGCCAATGATCCTGGTTGCCCAGCAGAAAGCTGAGGCCGGCTATCTGAAATGACAAGGAAGGAGCACATCGGATGCCCCGTACTTTGGGCCTGCCTTCTATAACAACTCATGAGAAAATGCATTGGCTTTTTAATAGTGATCCTTGACTGTTAGTTCATATTGGCACAAAGGCGAGGCTGTAATTAGTGAGTCCTATTTTAACCAAATCAAGAGCAATTTGTTTGTAAAGAACTCAGCTATGCTTGTCTTCATTCACTCCAGTTGGATGGTTATGCTGGAGATCAACTCAACTTTTAAAGACACACTTGACATCAAAAGCAAAACACATAGTGTTCTTGGAAGCAACCAGATGGAATTATATTGTTCGAATTGCTGCTAGGTATGGTAATGTGTGTCTGTAGCACTGGTCCTGGAAGAATACAGATACAAGCAGATCCCTGCAGCTCACTAGCCAGCCAGTCTACCGGAACGGCAAGCTCAGTTTCAGCAGATCAGAAACAAGGTGGAGAATGACAGAGGAGGACACCTGATATCAGCCTCTGGCCTCTACAGACACTCATATTGTACATGTACGTGAACATGTGCAACACACACACACACACACACACACACACACACACACACACACAGAGAGAGAGAGAGAGAGAGAGAGAGAGAGAGAGAGAGAGAGAGAGAGAGAGAGAGAGAGAGAGAGGCATGACTTGCAGCTTGCTTTAAAATCCCTTCTTAGGTTATATAGACCTCAAATATTTCATAGAACAATTATGTAATGACACGCAGATTTATGACAGCAGTTACATAATGCCGACCAGGTTTATGATACCAATTGCAGTGGTTCCTTTTAGATATCTTAAGTGTGGGGTTCCAAAGATCCTTCTGAGGCCAGAGGGTAGAGGGGAAAGACAGAGCCAGCTGAAGAAGATCTTTTATAATAATTGTTTAAATTTAAATTTCCAAGTAGCTCACTCAAAACAAAGAAAACTCAGACAGTTAAAAATCTAGAGGTGGCTATTTCTTGAAATTCAAATGTTAATTCTAGGATAGCATTGGGACTTTCCCATGTATTGCCAACCCCACCAATAGCTCCAAGTATGATGTAAGGATTGGATATAATTTGCCTTTGAGCTAAAAAGCCGGCTCTTCACACTGCCTCTTTTCCACTGTTGGACCCTCCTTCCCAGCCATGGTAGTGTGCAGAGAGAAGGGACGGTCGGGGGAGGGGAGACGAAGTAGACAGGGCTAAAGTCAGGGATGAGGAGATTTCACCTGACTAATGAGAATGCCTGTGACCAGGGCCAGTTGGTGAAGAGTGCCCAGAGCACCTCGGAGCGTGGTTGGAGCGATTTCACCAATGTACATTGGAACCAGTCCTGAAATTAGCCCTGTGTGAGACATAAACATAGAAATGTTAAAATGCAACCTGAGACATTTCAGTAACAATTATGTGTTCAATTACAGCCAGCACCCTTACTGAAAGTCACTCCCCAGGTGTTTTGAAGGAGTCACTGTCCCAACCATGGGCACAGTTTATGTAGAAAACATTTCTTCTTCTCCTCCTCCTCCTCCTCCTCCTCCTCCTCCTCCTTCTTCTTCCTCCTTCCTCTTCTTTTTTTTCTTCCTCCCCCTCCTTCTCCTCCTCCTTTTTTTTTTGGTTTTTCAAGGCAGGATTTCTCTGTGTAACAGCTCTGTCTATCCTGGAACTCACTTTGTAGACCAGTCTGGCTTCGAACTCACAGAGATCGAATTAAAGGCATGTACCACCACTGCCCAGCTGCAGAAAATTTTGGTTGATATTAATTCATGCAGAAATCCTTGGCTGATACTATACTAAATGAAGGAGTAATTGGAAATATTAATGGAAAGAAATGCTTAGTTATGTATTTGGCAATTTCCATGGTCTTAGTGTTGAGTTCATATCATATTGGCTAAGGTTGTCTTGAGAAAAGAACTTAGGGGTGTTTTAGTATTCATCCAGACTTACAGGATTAAAGAAAGTCAGGAATGGAGAGATGGCTCAGTGGTTAAGAGCAATGTTTACTCTTCTAGAGGACCTGGGTTCAATTCCCAGGACCCATAGGGCAGTTCACAACTGTCTGTAACTCCAGTTCCAGACACCCTCACACAGACATACATGCAGGTAAAACACCAATGCACATAAAACAAATAAATCACAACATCAAAGGAAAGCCAAGCTCCTAAGAGAGGTGAGAAATGACTCGCCCAGAATCAGTGGAGTAGAGTGCCACATGTAGGTTCCATGCCTAGCTGAGTCCACATCACATGGGGATACCTCAAGATCTCTCTTGGGTGGTTGTGAGGTACAGAAGAGGGAAGAGGGTAAGGAAATTGAGGGCTCTTCCCCAGCTGTCCCAGTAAGGATCACATAGCTTTATTACTGCATCAAAAATCTTAGGTTCAAATACTTGTAAAGTGAATCCAAGAACACTTCAAAAAGATCATCCACCATGATCAAATAGGCTTCATCCCAAAGATGCAGGGATGGTTCAACATATGATAATCAGTCAATGTAATCCACCATATAAACAAACTGAAAGAAAAAAAAAAACACACACATGATCATCTCTTTAGATGCTGAAAAGCCTTTGACAAAATTTAACACCCCTCCATGATAAAAGTCCTGGAGAAATTAGGGATATGAGGGATATTAGGGATACATACCTCAACGTAATAGAGGCAATATCCAGTAAACTGATAGCCAACATCAAATTAAATGGAGAGAAACCTAAAGCAATTCCATTAAAATCAGGAACAAGACAAGGTTGTCCACTCTCTCCATATCTATTCAATACAGTACTTGAAGTTCTAACCAGAGCAGTAAGACAATAGAAGGAAATCAAGGAGATATAAATTGCAAAGGAAGAAGTCAAAGTATTATTATATTTGCAGATGATATGATAGTATACGTAAGTAACCCCCAAAATTCTACCAGGGAATTCCTACAGCTCATAATCATCTTCAACGAAGTGGCTGGCTACAAGATTAACTCAAAAAAATCACTAGCCATCCTATATACAAATGACAGACAAACTGAGAAAGAAATCAGGGGAACAACACCCTTCACAGTAGCTACAAACAAAATAAAATATTTTGGGATAACTTTAACCAAGCAAGTGAAAGGCTTGTACAACAAAATCTTCAAGTCTCTGAAGAAAGAAATTGAAGAAGCTATCAGAAGATGGAACTATCTCCCATGCTCATGGATTGGTAGGATTAACATAGTAAAAATGGCCATTTTGGGGGGCTGGAGAGATGGCTCAGCAGTTAAGAGCATGACTACTCTTCCCGAGGTCCTGAGTTCAATTCCCAGCAACCACATGGTGGCTCCCAACTACCTATAATGAGATCTGGTGCCCTCTTCTGGACTGCAAGGACACATGCAGACAGTATACTGTATACATAATAAATAAATAAACCTTAAAAAAAATGGCCATTTTACCAGAAGCAGTCTACAGATTTTATTTGAAAAAAGATTTAAACTCCAAGATTTTGAAAAGTACTGAGCCATTATGCTTTCTATATATTCATTCATTCATTCATTCATTCATTCATTCATTTGTTCATTTTGTGTGTGTGTGTGTGTGTGTGTGTGTGTGTGTGTGTGTGTGTGTGTGTGTGTGTCCATCTGTCCCTGTAAATGTCAGAGGGTAACTTGTGGGAGTCTGTTCTCTCTTTCCATGGGGGACCCCACAGTTGAACTCAGATTGTCAAGCTCGTGACAAGTGTTCACTCGCTGTACGTCTCTCTCGCCTTTTCCTGTAGTTTTCTTTCTTAGAAGGCATATTTCATTTGATTTTATATGTATGAGTGTTTTACCTACATTTACGCCATGTGTGTCTATTGTCCATGGAGGCCAGAGGATGACCTCAGATCCCCTGAAACTGGAGTTCCAGATGGTTGTGAGCTGCTACGTGGGTTCTGGGAATTGAACCTAGGTCCCCTGGAAGAACAGCCAGTGCTCTTAACCACTGAGCTAGCTATCACTCTAGACCCCCTGTAGCTTTCTTAAACATACGGGCAATTAGATGTGTTGTAAATAGTGCCATATCCAGACATTTGCTAATTGCAGAGTTTAGTGTTTCCTTAAAAATTTAAAAATAAGCCGGGCGGCGGTGGCACACACCTTTAATCCCAGCACTCGGGAGGCAGATCCAGGCAGATCTCTGTGAGTTCGAGGCCAGCCTGGTCTACAGAGCGAGTTCCAGGACAGGCACCAAAACTACACAGAGAAACCCTATCTCAAAAACAAACAAACAAACAAACAAAAAATTTAAAAATAAGGTTTACTATGGACTTCCTATTTGAGAATGCCTGCCTTTAAATGAAAATAGATGGTCTTTTGACAAAAGGTACTCTTGTCAACTATTTTTAATATATAACCTAGGAATCCACGTTGTTTTAAACATTCACGTGGCTGGTATGGCATGTATACTTCTGTGGAATTTTACATGTGACTCTGACCCGTGACCTGTGGAGCCTGACTAAGAGCCACCTAGCTGTCCTTTTCTCTATATTTCAAGGAAAGGATGACAGAAATAAGCTCCCAGGTCTGAGGAGGTCACAGGAACTTGAATTTAAATTCCATTTCTGGTCATGTTTAGCAAACTTTAACACTCGGAATGCAGTGAGGCACAACTGTAATGACCGTGGACAGTCCACGTCACCTGGCAGGGCCAGCTCTTTGCTGCCGTGTAACATGTCTCTGTCTTTATTTTCTAGTTTGAAAATAGAGGAATGTTTTCCACACTGTGTTAAAAAGTGTGTGTGTGTGTGTGTGTGTGTGTGTGTGTGTGTGTGTGTGTGAGAGAGAGAGAGAGAGAGAGAGAGAGAGAGAGAGAGAGAGAACTTGGGCCTATTTCATAGTGCTATTATTCATCTTTTATAGAAGGAACTGAGGCTGAGCCTTAACTAATCTGTCTAAGGTAGAAGTGGTGCCAGAATTGATTCCCTCTGATTCCATGGTGTGTTCCACATCAACCTGACTCTCCTCCTTTTATCGTTTGTATCAACAGTGAACATTAATAAGGAGAGATATTTAAGTTACACTTTTGCTTCAACTGCCCATTGAAGACACATGGAATTATAATATTTTCTTCAAGTAAAAGGATTGGAAGTAATCATAGAGAAATTTGCACCCTCATCACTTTTTCCCAACCCCTCACGGATACCTGTGCCTTTGAGGTCAATTCCAATTTGTAAAAGCAGGTTAAAATGGCAGCCCGGAGCCACCAGAACGAAGCACCAGAGTAGTAGCAATAGCCGGTGATTGTCTTTACTTGGTGTCTGCCAGATGTTATGCTGGACACTTTCCATGTATTCTCCCAGTTCCTCCAGAGCAGTGGCTCCCAACCTTCCTAATGATGTGACCCTTAATACAGTTCCTCATATGTGGTGACCCCCAACCATAACATTGTTTCCATTGCTACTTCATAACTGTAATTTTGCTACTGTTATGAATTGTAATGTAAATACCTGTGTTTTCTGATAGTCTTAGGTGACCCCTGTGAAGAGGTCATTCAACCCTAAAGGGGTTATGACTCACAGGTTAAGAATGGTGGCACTAGGCAGATGGATGGAACTAGAAAATGTCATCCTGAGTGAGGTAACCCAGACTCAGAAGGACAAACATGGCATGTACTCACTCCTAAGTGGATACTAGATGTAAAGCAAAGGATAACCAGACAACAACCCACAGCTCCAGAGAAGCTAGCTAACAAGGAGGATCATAGAGGGATGCATGGACCAGCCTAGGTAGGGGAAATAGATGAGATCTCCATGAGTAAACTGGGGGTGGGAGGGCAATGGAGGGTAGGGGATGGGGGATGAGAAGAGAAGGGAACAGGGATGGAGTGGGAGAGCAATGAAAGAAAATCCATGATAGAGGGAGACATCGTGGGGATAGGGAGAAACCGGGAGCTAGGGAAGTTCCCAGGAATCCACAGGGATGACCCCAGCTTAGACTACTAGCAGTGGTGGAGGGGTGCCTGAGCTGGTCTACCCTGGTGATCAGATTGGTGAATGCCCTAACTGTCATCACAGAGCCTTCATCCAGTAACTGATGGAAACAGATGCAGAGAGCCACGGCCAAGCACCAGGCCGAGCTCCAGGAGAAGGAAGAGGGATTCTATGAGCAAGTACATCAGGATCATGATGGGGAAACCTGCAGAGATGACCAAACCAAACTAGTGGGAACTCATGAACTTCAGACCAACACTGTGGAGTCTCCACGGGACTGGACTAGGCCGTTTGCATATGCGAGACAGTTGTGTAGCTTGATCTGCTCAGGGGCCCCCTGGCAGCAGGATCAGGATCCATCCCTGGTGCATGAGCTAGCTTTTTGGAGCCCAGTGCCTATGGTGGGACACCTTACACAGCCTTGAGACAGGGGGAGGGGCTTGGACCTGCCTCTGCTGAATGTACCAGGCTCTGCTGACTCCCCATGAGAGGCCTTGCCTTGTTGGAGGAGGGAATTGGGGGGGGGGGGTGGATTGGGAAAGGAGGTTGGAGAAGGGATGAGAGGGAGATCTGTGGTTTGTATGTAAAATGAATAGAACATTTCTTAATAAATAAGCCCCCCAGAACCCCAGAAACAAACAAAAAGAACGGCTGTACGAGCGGCAGATGTTACTGTCGTCTTCATTTCACAGATTAGGAAAGAGAGAACCAGTTATATAACCTGTCTGAGATCAAGCAATTAGAAGTGATGTTACTGGCAGGGACAGGGACACACATGGCATCACAGCTCTTCTTCCACCTTTGCCTTCCCTCTGTGACGCCATGTTAGGCTCCACAGATCTTTGCCTAGAGTGACTTTCAGACGATGGCGTGTACGCGTGCCACTCACCACAGTACAGTCCTGATACACTTCTTCCAGCGATGATGAGGATATGTGATGGTCCGAATTTGGAACACCCCATCAAGAGGGCTCCAGTCAAAGAGAGACTGTTGGCTGCCAACATGGCTTTGATCCTGAAATTTAAAAACGGTTTTAAATTCAGCACCAAAACATGAAGAAATGGCTTGTTTTCAGACCCTATTGAGATTTTTACCTATGAATAATTATTTTTAGTTTTACTGAAAAGCTAGTTCAGGATTCTTGAGGCATGCCTGCTACTTCCTTATCTATGAGCTGATGTGTTAGCACTGAGTACCATTCGTAATGTACTTTCGTCTACTTGTCTCTTATTTTCATAGAGACACGTCCCTTGATTTGCTTTGTTTTTGTGTTTTGGAGATGTGGGTCTCACCCGCTAGCCCTGGCTAACTGGACCTTACTCTGTAGCCCAGGCCATCCTTGAGCTCTCAAAAATTCTCCTGCCTCAGCCTCCAGAGTGCTGAGATTATAGGCATGAGCCACCATGCCTGGCTAAGTAGTCTGACTTAAGGGGACACTTCTGGTACTTACTCAGTTATTTGTTTTAAAGAGCGGTGTTTTGGTGACTGAGAACTGACTTTGTAGCTGCTGGCCATCATCTGTCTCTTTATTGTTTTGTTGACAGCAAAGATCTTTAGTTGTTGCCTTGAAGCCAACTTTCCTTCTGTGGGCATTTTTTGGAAGTAGATTAAAACGCTTTTCTAAAATCTGTCATAATTATAATTATCCTTATTTTCACACAAAGCCAGCATATTTATTTGTAAAATCTATGAATTAATAGTAACCAAACTTAAGGAATTACATTATTTTTGAGACAGGATCTCATTCCAGAGTCTGGGCTGGTGCATAATTCACTCTGAGGACTAGCCTGGCCTTGAACCTGTGGCAATTCTTATGTCTCAGTCTCCTGGGTGTTAGAAGTATAGGCAAGACCCACCATATCCACCTACTGTAAAGCACATTTTTAAAGCTGACAATAGCAATAAAAACATCACTAACCAAAGTGACCATGTGGAAATCACACACACACTTTCTTGAAAGTTAAGTCAAAGATAATAAAGCCAATACAAGAATCTGAGCAGACAGGTTTGGCGGTGTTTGTACCCCAGTGACATGTGCATCCCTTGATGTGGTCATGTGGTCACTTTGCCTATCAGGGGTTCAGACTCTGATGACAAGCAGGCTTTTTCTAAGCAAATATCTACAAGACCAAACACACTTTTTCTTTAGAGAATACAGTTAGGTGTCTACACAGCAGTAATTGCCTAGCAGCCATGTGTAGGCTTAATGGTGTCCCCCAAGAGCCCAAGTCCTAATCCCAAGATCTGTAAACATCACCTTATCCAGCAAGAGGTGTTTTGTGGATGTGATTACAATAGCAGTCCTGGCCAGGAAGAGTGTCTTGGAATATTCAGGTAAACTCAGTGAAATCACAGGTGTCCTTAAAAGATAAAGGCAGAAGAGAAGGAGACATCACAGAAGTGGAGGATGGAGTGAGGCCCTTCTAAGATGGTGTGCTGGGTAGTTTTATGTCAACTTGACACAAGCTAAAGTCATCTGAGAGGAGGGAACCTCAATTAACAAAATGCCCCCTTAAGATCGGGCTGTGGGCAAGCCTGTAATGACATTTTTTAAATTAGTGATTGAGGAGGGTCCAGCCCATTGTGGGTGGTGCCATCCCTCAGCTGGTTGTTCCAGATTCTGTAAGAAAGCAGGCTGAACAAGCCTCGAGGAATAAGCCAGTAAACAGAACCCCTCCATGGCCTCTGCGTCAGCTCCAGGTTTCCACCCTGTTTGAGTTTCTGTCCTGACTTCCTATAATGATGGAAAGTGCTATGGAAGTGTAAGCTGAAAAACCCTTAATTTCCTGAGTTTCTTTGGTCATGGTGTTTCATCACAGCAATAGTAACTTTAACAAAGATAGAAGTTGGTAGCAGGAGTAGGGTGTTGCTGTTACAGACCTGCCATGTTTTGGGGAAGATTATGGAAGGACTTTGAACTTTGGTCTAGAAAAGTCATTGAGTGTTGAGAATTTGGTGAGCTGTTCCTTAGGAGCTTGAAAAATAAACATTGAGGACAATGCAATGCAGAAGCTGGAGGCTGGCTTGTGAAGTTTCAGAGGGAAGTTTAAAGACTCTATTGGGGCCATTTGTTGTTTTGAATTAAGAGTCTGTGGTTCTGGTTAGCTGGGGCTAAAGAATCAGCCATAATTAACAAGACACCAGAACTACTAAAGTGAAACCTTTGCTTTGTTGGGATACTCGATGCTGGTTAGCTGGAGCTGAGAATTTAGTGGTGATTAAGAAGAGACCAGCAGCTGGGCAGTGGTGGCACATGCCTTTAATCCCAGCATTTGGAAGGCAGAGGCAGGTGGATCTCTGTGAGTTCGAGACAAGCCTGGGCTACAAAGTGAGTTTCAGGAAAGGTGCAAAGCTACATAGAGAAACCCTGTCACAAAAAACCAAAAAAAAAAAAAAAAAAAAGAGAAGAGACCAGCATTGTTGAAGTGAAATCTTCTGGGAAGTGTTCCTGAGAACACACAGAAGCTGTCTTCCAGAGGAAAGACAGAAGTTGGTAACAGGGACTGGGATATTGCTATGATAGGCCAGACCATGTTTTTGTTTGAAATAATATGGACTTCGGGAGTTAGGTTAGGAAAGCAGTAGAAAGCTTTAAGCACTGCTTAATGGCCTATACTAATTGGAGCATGGAAGACAGGTGCTAAGAGTGATTGGAGCTGTTGGGGGCTGGCTTAAGAGGTTTCAGAGGAGAAGAACATTACTATGTGGCCCAGAGATGGTTCTTGTGATATTTTGGTGAAGAAAGTGGCTACATTTGCCCTTGTCCGAAGAGTCTGCCTGAGGCTAAAGTGAAGAGGTTTGGATTCATTCCATTGGCAGAGAAAATCTCAAAACAGCCTAGTGTAGACTCTGTGGTGTGGTTATTAGTGGTAACTCTAATGAAGATTTATAATGAAAAGGAGCAAGCTGAGCAAATAAAATACAAAATGTACAGATCGAGAAAAGGGACACCAGGAAGTGTAATAGAACTAAACCTTATGTTCAAGGAGATAAACAGATTAAGAAATTGAATGTAGGGAATGGTGACCTCAGGGCAAGATCCCACCCAGCTAAATTTCCAATGTGTGAAAAGGAACTAAAGAAAAGTTTAGAGCTGGGTATGGTGGTGCACACCTTTAATCCCAGCATTCTGAAGGCAAAGGCTGGCAGATCTCTGAGATTTGAGGCCATTCTGGGCTACAGAGCAAGCTCAAGGACAGACAAGCTTAGGCAGTGAAGGACAGAATGCTGGTGAAAATGTAATCCAATGAGGGGGCCATCCTCCAGTCTCAGCAAGCAGCAGAACTTGCCAGCTTCAGCCATGTGGCTCTGGCTTTAGAGTCAAGGAGTAACTAAGGGAAGCCACTGAGGCCAGGCATGTGTCACAGGTGTACCTGAATGGAGGCCTAGAGAGGCCATGTGTGAAGCTATGAAGTTGAAGCCTGGATTGTCTTGGAGACCCCAAAATGTTGGAGATATCAGAGTCATTGGATACCCGCCAAAAAAGACTTGGAACCAGCCCAAGAGAAAGAAGTGTGTTGCAGTCCACAAAGCTGAAAGGAGTTGGAGAACTGAAGAGCGTTTTGACATCAGACTTGGAGATGTAGAGTTTGGAGTTTGCCCAGCTGGTTTCAATCTTGCTTCGGTCCAGTATTTCCTCACTGTGCTCCCTTCCCTATGTTTTGGAATGGTAATGTATATACTGTGCCATTATATGGTGGAAGTATGTGATTTGCTTTTTGCTTTTGATTTTACAGGGGATTACAGTTAAGAGATTGCATGAATCTCAGAGAGATTTTGAACTTCAGACTTTTAAATAAGTTTGGGACTGTGATAAACTATGGGGACTTTTGAAGTTGGACAGAATGCATTTTTGCATTATGATATGACTACAAGCCTTTGGGGACCAAGGAGTGGAATGTGGTGGTTTGAAAGAAAATGGCCACCAAAGGGAGTGGCACTATTAGGAGGTGTGGCCTTTTTGGAGTAGGTGTGGTCTTGTTGGAGGAAATGTGTCACTGTGGAGGCAGACTTGGAGGTCTCACATAATGCTCAAGCCATGCCCATTTCCTGTTGCCAAGATATAAGACACTCAGCTACCTCTCCAGCAGTATGTCTGACTGCATGCTGCCATGTCCCACCATGATGATAATGGACTGAACCTCTGAACTATAAGTGAGCCACCTCAATTAAATGTTTTCTGTTTTAAGAGTTGCCATGGTCATGGTGTCTCTTTACAGCAAAAGAAACCCTAAGACAGTGGCCAATGTTGTAACTCATGCTGGCAGCTCAACTTGATAGTCTAAGAGTCACCCAGGTGGTACTGGTTTTGAAGGCATGAAGGGGCCATGGGAAGCAGCTGAGGCTTGGCACTGAAAGGTCAGAGACAGACACCATTGGTGAAGGTGCAGCCATAGTGGCAGCTGAAGACCCAGGAATGAATGGGTCATGCAGAGAAGTTGAGGTTTGGCAGTACAAAGAGAACCTAGGAGAGGCTATTGGTGAACGTGCAGCCCAGTTGTGGCATAAATGCCCAGCATGTAGATGCAAGCACTGAGGGATGACTACCAAGAACAGTAGCAGCAGTGGAGTGGAGCCTGCCTGAGCTTAGAACAAGCTGTGTGTGCTGCAGAGGGTGGAGTCAGAGAAGTGACCCAAGCCACTGACTGGAGGAGCCCAGGAGGTGGTGAGTGGATCCCAGACACTGGGCATGGAGTTATTTGTATAGCTGGAGTTTGCTTTTGCTTTGTTCAGGGTATCACTCTGACCTGGTTCTTCCCCCTTGAAGTAAGGAAGTATTTATCTTAATTTTGATTTTTTTATAGGAGCCCACAGTTGAGAGATTTCAAACTTTTAAAAGAGATTTGGGATTTTTAAAGAGACTGCTGTGTTAAAGGGACAGAATTTTAATATATTTGAATTTGTAAAGACTATGGGACTTTCAAAGATGGGAAAGGGCCATGAGCAAGCAATAGGGGGATGGTATTAACTAGAGAGGACGAGGCAGGGATTTGCTCCTTAGAGTCTCCAGAAGGAATCAGCACTGCTAACCTTTTGGCCTTTGTCAAATATAATGAATGTTGGAATTCTGACCCTCAAAACTGAAAGAAAATTAATTTGTGTTGTTTGGGTCAGTAGGCTGGTGATAACTCATCACAGTGGCCAGAGGTATAAGGAAATCCTGGACTACCTTAAGAGTAGGCAGTGTTCCAGCGCTGGCTAGCCCTGGGGCCGCAGTGCAGAGACCCAGGTAAAGGATGGCTCTCGGCTCAGACTGCCAGGAAATGCTTTTTGTCTTTGTGAGGAAAGAGGATGCACAAAGCTAGCGGTTTATTTACCCTAAGAAGTTGTTACCAGCTGATAGCATCTATTCTGCCAGACAGGGCAAGATGAAAATAGAAGATTGGGCCAGTTACCAGTCAGTCCTGCTGGAGCAAGGGTCCCATGAGGCCTCAGCCCTCCCAAGGATCTATAGCCAGCAAATGCTTGCAGGAAGGAGAAAGACTGTTTTCAGCGGTCTAACGACCGTTCGATGCCCACACTCCTGCAAACAGCCCCTCCTCCATGCTTGTGTAAGTCATTAACTAAACCCATTCACTAAGAAAGAAAAAGAAAGGAATACAGGAAAAGAAAGGAGAGGAGATGAAAGCATGGGGGTACTAGTTAGTAAGAGGGAGGTGTAAAGGAGTGGGACCGGGGTATTGGGTGTAAACATGATAAAATACATGGTGTACGTGTATGAAAATGTTATAATGAGACCCACTACTATGTATAATTAATATCTGCTTAAAAACTTAAATAATTTAAAATTATTTAGTAGCCAGGAGTGGTAGCACTTTCTTTATTTCCAGTAATTCCTGAGTATGGAGGCAGAGGCAGGCAGACCTCTGGGAGATCTCATATAAAAGTAGGAATTTTCTTAACTAGGGATATTACAATAACCTGAACTTTACTGTGTACTTGAAAAGGAATTTCCTTCATGAATAGTCAGTTTCTACATTTTTACTGTTTCTTGTGTTTTATACAATTTCAGTAGAAGAAAGTATCAGAATTTTAATAATTAGTGCCTCCAAAGCAATAGTTTATGTTAGGAAATGAAAAGATGAAATGAATTAAACCCAGAATTACTAAGCTAATTAATTACCAAATTACCTCTTTCCTTTTAAAAATAATTTTTTTTTTTTTGCATTTTCTGAACTTTCCCTGTTTGGCATGTGTTAATTCTATTGTGAAAATAAAAGGTAATTAACACACAAAATTGGATTCAACTAATAGGAAATCAATGTAAAAAACAATAACTTGCGGTTCTAACCTACCAGAAGCCCTAACTTTGGTACACCTGTTAGCAAGCCTATGAAGGAACTGACTCCACTGATGTCGTTTTTTAAAGCTGTTTTAAATTTTGAGTATGTGTGTATGTGTCTTGGGGGTGGGTGTGTACAAGTGTGAGTGTAGGTGCTCTTGGAGGCCATGAATGTGAATTGGGTCACCTGTAGCTAGAGGTACAGGTAGAGGGTGCTGGGAACCAAATTCCGGCCCACTGCAAGCACGGTCTTGCCTCTTAGCCACTTAGCCATGCCTCTCCTCAGGCACTGATGTTTTTAATCCAAAACATGCAACAGGAACTGGAGTTGGGAAGCTCTGTTACTGTGATCTCTGGTGGGGCTTTGAGATCTTAGCAGGAATGGCAGCAGGAAGTGGAAACTCTGTGCCCAGTGTGTGGTGACTTGTCAGGATGTGAAGGTGACCATCGGACTGGACTAATACAAGTGCCAATTTTTAATTTACAAATGAAAACAATGTTTGAGAACTGGTGTAATTTGGTGGCACTTTCCTCACAGGTTTTAAAACTTACAAAGCCAGAGGAACAAAGCCTCTAGAAATACACACCAGATTCACTTTTTCTGCAAACACTTCCACAGTGACCAGGATTTGCTAGCTGATTGCAACAACACTTTCTATTGATTCGGCCTAACAATGACCTAGCTCACAGGATTCTAAGTTGAAAAACCACTCTAACACTGTCCCACAAAAGGGAAGATGGCGTCTCTCTATAAAAAGCAATAACAAAATATTAAAGCTGTGTTTATATTAATTTGTAAAACTCACCTTCCAAGCCTGTCCCCTAGCCACCCACCAAAGAATGAGGCGACCATTCCACCCACTGCGAAGCTGGACACAGAGAGAGACCAGAGCATAGTGATGAGGTGAGCAGATCCTGCAGCCTCCTCTTCAGCCCAGGGGGGGTGTGGTCGCATATGCGGGCGTGGCTACGAGTGGGGAGTCTGTGCTGTTGACAGCATAGTTACTGGTAGCTCTTCGGTCATCCACCGCAATACCCAAAACATGTTGGTAATGGGATATTATTACCTGAGGAAACAGGGAAAGCCATCCATGACTTCAGCATTGCACATATAGCCTATGACGTCCCTTTAAACGTCTTGTTAGGTGTTCAAAGAGGGCGGCCTAATTGTGTGAGCTGTACAATACAGATATGGGTAGACTGATTTGCAGTTGGTCATGTCCTGTAAAAAAGAGGTGACGAAAACAGGCAATGGAGCAGGGTGGGAAGAGGGGCCGGAAGTAAGTGTAGAGTCCCCGGAAGCAGCCCCCGAAGTACACGTTCTGCTGTAGGTTGATGGCCGCAAGGGCTTGGCGTTGTGGCATGATAGCTTCTGCCCCAGCTGAGCAGGGGGCTGAAAGAAAAGGCTCACTAATGGGTAGCCTCTGCTTTTAATATCTGCCAGAGCTCTTGGCTTTTATGTTGACAACTACTTACATTGAAGATATTCTTCAAGTAGAGAAGACAGATTTTTATACGAGTGTTAGTATTGCACAAAGGATTTAATAGTAACATAAAAGGAAAAAATAAAACTACTGGCAAAGCTCAGAGTAAAAACTAAAGTTAGAACTATATAAAATTCTAGCACCTGGTGTTATATCCTTGGTTAAAGTGAGCTATAAATTTAGTCACAGACTTCCTAAAAGGTAATGCAAATAGATTCAAATGGTCAAGCCTAGAGTTGATGAAATTTCAAGATAAAATCAGCTTAGATAGAACTGAGAAGGTATAAAGACTTCTCCTATGGGTCCTCAGAGAGGTCAGTATATCCCAAAAGGAAGAGTCCTCAATGCTAAATTTCTAGCCACATTTTATATGGCTTCTGTAGCCATGAAGATGCAGCCCGCAGCCTTTCCCCCTTCACACTATCCTTCTCAGCACTGATTCATCACTGTTCAGCCCCCATAAGCTGCGTAGTTCCTCTCCAACAAGGATCTGGACCATTGCTGCTCCCTCTTCCTGGTTATGAATAAAGTCCTGTTTGTAAAGCAAGCTGAGCCACAGGGAGATTTGCCAACCTCTGTGCAAGATCTGCTCTCATAGATGGCTCTCCTGCAGAGATAGGAGGCATGGAGAAAGGCTGAAGGAATTACACAAAATGTTCTTAGCAGTTTAATATATGGAATAGAAATAATTGCAGGTGATTTTATCTTCTATTTTCTGCAGTGGGAAAGTGTAATTATTATGCTCATGAAAAATTGTGTCTTAAAAATACCTTAAAATGTTATTCAACTGGTAGAAAATGCCGGTAAGGGTCTGTGTTTTCAGTTCTGGCTCAGGCTTAGATTGAAGGAGGGGAGATCTCAGTCTATTCTCTCTGGTAAGACTAGAGAGGATGGTTTTAGTAGGGATGTGAAAAGGACTTCCAGAAAGGAAGGATTTCTAGATTGGCCTGGATCTTAGGAGGCTGGACAAATCAGCACACTTTTTCATCATCCACAGAAAAATATCTGACTCTGGTCTCCTGCCCGCCCCACCCCCCTTCTCCCCTCACTCCAGCATTATTCCTTGGAAGCCAGAACATGCTAAGGATGATGTGCTCTTAATGAAGAACTATCTCCTAGCCTTGGAGCTAAGCAGCAGTCCTTGTCGGACTGGTCTGCACACACTCCAGTGTTCACAGCCTGTGGTGTCTTACATTTTTCTCAGAACTGTAAGAAAAGCAGATAAAATGATGAAATGTGATGGATGTATTCAAAGCACCCCACACACCCTGAGTTTTCTCATTGCATCCCTTCCCAAGGTATATTCGCTCCCAGTCTGAGTTGGAGCTCAAGGGAGTGGCACAGTCCCCTAACTAAAGGGCTGTGGCATCTGGGAAGAGTGAGCTCTTTCTCTGAGGATCTACTGCATAACAGAGAAAGATGCATGGAATGCACCCAGAAACGACAGGAATTTTCTGACATGTTTCCTTACAAAGTGCCACGTCCTTTCTCCATTCACAGTGAAGAAGATCCAAACTTTTTGAACCTCTTGACTACTGAGCTAATGTTTGTAGTTTTTGTGCTGAAGGTCTGTGTGAGACAAGGAGAGGGAAGGACAGCTGTCTTTTTAGTGTTTGGCCCCTAAAGTTTCTAATCTGCCACAGAAATGAGTCGAAGGTTGGGATAATCTGGTGGTGGAAAGCCTGATGCAAATATTGGTGCTTGGTGCTTGTGACTGTGCATTGAATGGACACATCCTTCTGTGTGTCGTGCCCCCCCCCCCCCCTTCCCTGGTGTTTTTTTTCATTCATGCCTGGGGCACAGCTGTGACTGAATGCTGCAAGGCATTCTTGCCTTTCGACCTCTGGAACAGGAGGCATTAAGTTAGCATTTTCTCTGAGCTCAGAGAACAGCAGTGTCAGAGATAAAAAAGTTGTGCACTGCTCTTTTTGACTCAGAGGGTTGTTAACCCAGGAGTCAAGGCCAAATTACCAGCTGTGAATCGATGCACATTGTACCTGGCCAGCCAGGCTCACCCCATGTGTCTCACGTGGACAGTTTATCTTAGTGTGTGAGGAACATATGATACTCAGGGCAGGAAGAACTGACAGGACTTGTCCCCAAAGAACTGTGCGTTTCACTTACGTCCTGAGGTGCGTTGATCACCCCGATGTCATAGCCAAACTGGAAGGAACCGAGCACAGCCGTGAAGACAGTGAAAGCCAAGGTTCCCGTGATCTGAGGATGAAAAACAAAGCTGGGAAGCAGCAGTTCCTGCACCTGACCTCCACATGGACTCCCCCAGGCTCTGCTTCTTCCCCTCCCACAGCCAATCACAGCAACCCTGTGCTCACAGGGCAGGTGTTAGTCTAGGAGAATGTGAACGCTGTTCACCAGTGTCTCATATTGCTAGAGCGGATAGAAAAAAGAAAAAAACACAGCAGGACAGCTGTTCCAGAGTATAAACTTAACATTCTCTTTGTGTCTTTTTTTAAATGATTTATTTATTTTATGTGCATTGCTATTTTGCCTGCATGTATGTCTGTCGATGTCGGATCCCTGGAAGGTAAAGTTACAGGCAGTTGTTAACTGCCATGTGGCTGCTGGGAATTGAACCCATGTTCTCTGGAAGAACAGCCAGTGCTCTTAACCGCTGAGCCATCTCTCCAGGCCCTCTCTTTGTGTCTTATACACACGTGCATGGACACACACACACACACACACACACACACACACACACACACACACGACAGGGGAGGAGAGGGGGCAGAGAGGAGAGGTAGAAACCATGGGCCAGGTAGGTTTGAACTCCTTGGTTTGCAGTTGAGGCTGATGTTGAACATCTGGTCTCCGTGACCTCCCCTCCAGAGAACTAGAATTATAGGAATGCACCACCATACCCTGCGTGTGGGCTGCTAGGGGCAGGCCCACGCTTTGTTCACATTAGGCAAATGCTTCACCAACTGAGCTTAATCCCCAGCCCCACATCAATATCTTTTCAAGATTCAAAGTCAGAACTGAGAATTAGAATTGCTGCTGAAGGGAAAAAGAACTGCCAGCTCAGAACAATGGTCCTGCGGCAGCATCAGTAGAGATGGCAGCTTTCCAGACATTTCCACTCTGCAGAAACACCCCAGCACTCACTCAGAGTCATCCTGGTTATCATGATCTGTACCAGTATCCAGGCAAGAGTGCTTTTCAGGATTTTCGTGAGGCTGAGCATGGAGGTGTGAGTTAAGTTACCCTAAAACTGCAGAGTGTTCACCTCACAATTAATTACTCCTCCAGTCAGCTGACAGGAATCATGCATGCAGACTCACAGGTCAGGGTGCTTAGAGCAGCAGCTTGTGGAAAGAGCTGTCATTCAACAAGAATATCAAACAGATCCAGTCACGTCATCGACACACATCAGATACATTCAACACGCTATGCAGCAACCCAAAAAAATAATGTGACCAAATACATTGGCTTTTGTTGTTTGTTTTTGTTTAGAGACAGAGTCTTACTTTGTAGCCCTGGATAGCCTGGATCACATAATGTAGACCAGGCTGGCCTCAGACTCACAGAGATCCTCCTGCCTCTGCCTCCAGAGTGCTGGAATTAAAGGCGTGGGCCACCATACTCAGCTCGGCTTGTTTTAAGTGGTAAATGAAACTGTAAACCTCACTGAATGATTTGTCACATGATTGATTCATTGATGCTTCACAGTGCTGGGAGTCAGGCCTGGTGCCTTCTGCATGCTGGGAAACTCCACCGGTAAGTTACAGCCTTAGCTCACTAACGCTCTGAAAAGGACTTAGGCACAAACAGTATTGGACTTGTATACACAATGTTTCATTGAAGAATAAATAAAAAAATGACTCTTTTGAAAAGACTGTAAGGCTGGAGAAGTAGAAGTAAAAGGAATATTTTTAAAATTCATGTTGTTAGGTATTTTACAGGGAAATGTTGTATGTGTTATCATATAATTTAAAATTTCAACCAGGCAGCACAGGATATAACAAGTATTTTGTTGGGTGGATGAATGAGTTACATCGGCATGGATTTTGGTTCCTTGTTGTTTTTTTTCTTTTTTTATACCTTAAGTGACTCTGCCTATTTCCCTTATAGCATCTTTGGTTTTTGTCTGAATTGTAAGATTGTAAATCTCTGCACTCCAGCATGAAGAATAAATAATTATCCAGGACCCTGATTCTCTAATAAAACCCCAGCTGAGTCATCAACGAAGTCTCACGGACCTTCCTAGGGACCCTAGAAGTTCTCCAGCCCAGTGACTCTGAAACAAGACTCTTTTCTGGGGCTTTGGACCTGTGTAGCTCCTAGAGCACCCCAAGTCCTTCTATTGGATTGGACTCTCACTCGGGCGTGTGCAGTCTGTAGGTTTACACAATTCCCTTCTTTTTATAGCTGTAGTCGGTCATTGTGCAGGCCACTGTCAGCAACTTTGTCCTGAAAGGACAGCAGGAGATGCAAAGATGTCTGTCTGTCTGTCTGTCTCTCTCCTCTGAAGATACATACATATATTCATGTACATCACATGTATTATCTATTTATTACCAAGAATATATACATATTTACACATAAGAATATCTTATATACAAGCAAGTAATATTTAAAATATGCATACATACATACTTACTATATGACATATAATATATAGACTTATGCAAGATTTTGAAAGACTTTCTAAAATGTAGTAAGACATCTGGAACTCAAAAAATTAAAATCTAGGATGGGATTCCATTTGCTGGGTGAGTGGTTTGTCCTCAAGTCATCTCCCCTCTCAAGCTGTTCCCAAGGATTAGGATTTCTTTTTGTTTACAGAAAATAGTTATCAGCAGCAGCGAAGAACCAGGTGCACTGGGAGGGCTCTGACATCCTCTCCATCACATAAACACAACTTCAGAGCCCAGAGCTGAGGATGCTTAATGCATGCCCACTTGCTCCTTTATATGAATTATCTCATTTATTCCCACCATTCATTTTTCACTGATGCTATAAAAAATTCCCAGCAACCCAGTGACTGAAACAATGCAACCTCATTTATCTTATTGGTCTTCGGGTTAGAGATCTAGTCTGAGCCTCTGCAGGCTAAAATCAATATGTTAGCAGACTATGTTTCCTTTGAGACTGGAGAAGAAAATTTGAGTTGATGGTAGAATTCACTTCCTTGTGGTGGCAGGACCCTGAGGTTTCTTGCTGGCTATAAATTGGGGGCCTCTCAGTTGCAGAGGCTAGCATGCTCCTTAGCTAAGGGTGCTCTTCCTCCAGCTTTACAGCCAACAATAACAGGTCATATCCATGCCATATTGCATCTCTCAGATCCTGACAAGTTCTTCACTTTCAGGAATGTATGATATTAGATTTAACACCTCTGGGTAAGCCAAGACTATCTCTCCATCTCAAGGCCCTTAGTAGATACTATATCCGTCTAAGTCATCTAGGTGTATGTAGTCTGGAAAAGTTTTGTTCATGACAGGGAAATTTCATGAAAATTACTAAGCACAAACAATCCCATCTCCCTGCATCCAGCCATTCTAATGGCAAAGAGATTGGCATGGCATCTGTATAGAGCTAAGACAAGTAGTGAGGACTCAGAGGGGTTCTCACTCAGTCCACGCTTTGGGTTCCTAAAGGGTTTGCCTGTTCTCTCAAAGACCCTGCAGGTAGTCATCGTTTCATACTCAAGGAAATGTGGAAATGGAAGGAACTTGTACGGAAGGCAAGGGAGGGAAAATCTTCAAGTCTTTTCTCTAAACTTCTTCACAGGCCATAGCATGATAAGCTGGAAACATTTTAAAGGTCAGTTGTTACTGGGAATTTAATACATTTTGATTAGAGAAATGAGTTCCCACGTCCAATTTAAAATATACTGCAGATAAACGTGGAAGAACAGCAGCCTGGCATGGGGCCAGTGAGCTGGCTCAGCATCTGCAGGTAGGTACTCGGCATCTGCAGGTAGGTACTGGCAATGCCTGGGACCCACGTGCTGGAAAGTGAGAACTGACTCCTGAAAGTTGTCTTCTGACCTCCACGTGTGCACTGTGACAGGAGTGTGTGGGGGCACACACACACACCAAAATAAATAATTTTTTTAAACTTAATACGGAAGTAGTTGAACCTTAACCTGAAACAAAATGTGGTATTTATTTTGTGGCTTAGAAGTCATATGCCATATATTGGCATAGACAAGTAGTTGTGAAAGTCAGACTACTTAGAAAGGGGTTCTATAGTATCCCTGTGCCTCAGTTTCTCTACCTTTGAAATGGTCATAATGATAGGTGATGGGCAGGATTATGAGACTGGCATGCTGTGGCTGTGCTCAGGAGGAGCCTTGGACAGGATTATTGTAAAAATGAAGATCAGTAATGTGCTCCCCTTTAAGTAGAGGGCACACAGCAAACGCCTTTCTGCCCCTATCACCACATTTCATGGACTGCGTCTATGAAGCAACCATCTACCAACTTTTCATACCTCACTAATAATATCCAAAAACAACACGAAAAGCAGACAGGATCTCCACTCTGCGCTGCAGAAGCCATGCTCAGGGAGGGTTAAGAGGGTTGTGCCTGACCATAACCAGTCTGTGGCAGATATCCTCACACGGAACATTTAAACTTCCACTATTAAATAAGAAAGCAGATTTTCCAGCAACTACGGATTGACTAGGAAGGGGAAAATGTATGATTTGACTCCACATGCTTCCAAAAGCCAAGCCAAAGGTGATTTTATATCCAATTTTGAAAAAGGCCAAATATTTCTCATACCATAGAATTTTCAGACTGAAAGGAATTTAAAAAGTGACAGATGTTTGTCTGATACCTCCCCTTACCAATGGAAGAAGAGGAGGATTCACAGACCATGCCCCTTGTCTGATTGTCTGTGCATCGTGGGTATGTCCAGACTGACACTAACTTTCCTGAGCTACCATTCCTGATTATCCTTTAGCCTCCAGTGGTTGACAAAGCTGAAAAGCCCCTCTCTTTATGTCAGTCCATACAGCTCTGTGCTCTGTTATCAGGCAATTCCTTGATGAACGTTCTTACAGTTTAGTCTCTAAAGCACCGGGGGAATTTACCAAAGCCTGAAGTTTGGCTCTGAGATGGTCTCTTTGACAACATCTTCTAGACATTAGGTATACGAATGCTGCCTTAACATATTTGCTGAATCTGCACACCATCCCTGTAGTTACTAATTTAATATTTATCCATAAATCATCATTACAGTTCTCTCTACTGTAGCTTCATCCTGAACTATATCACTCACAGAATCATGAATCCAGGGCCATTCTTTAAATGTGCATTATATAAATGCATAACTGATATGTAAACGTTTGCCCTCTAAGCCTTTCTAATGTTATCTTTACTTACTCTCAAACTCTGAAGAGATTATTTCATTCACAGATTACCAAAATAAAGCCTAGATAGTCCATATCAGGCCCCAAGAATCATCATTTTATCATAATATAGAAAACACAATGCTCAGTTCATTTAATCTGAGTTTCAGCAGCACACACAGCATTAGAGTCCACATCCAAGCCTGGCTGATTTCACAACACCTGGTGTCATTCATGAAGCAATGCTCAGGTCAGTATGTAAGGGTCCCACTCTTAATGGGTACAGATTTATCAACTTCTATTATCGTATTCAGGAGTTTGAGAGAGCTTGTAGACACAGGAGAGTAGCATATTCTTTTGAAGGTTTTATTTGGAAAAGGACTTTATCTACAGAGACGTTGAAATACCAGAGAAATGACAACCCCATGGCTTTCCCTTTGCTTACCGGTGATTACCTAACATTCGCCACTTATTTCATAATGTGTATTGTTGAACCATTTAAAATAAGCTGCAGATTACCTGTGTCACCCCATTCCTGATGACTTCAACAAGTACTTTCCTTAAGAACAAAGACCTCTTCCTGTCTGATACAGATATTCTCACCCAGGGATATAACAGAGTGTACCAATATCAGCTAAGATTCAGCCCAAAGCCAGATTCTCCAGAGTGTGCTCCATCAGGTCTTTTCTTCTTCTCGTGGTCTGAGGTCACCTGCAACAGTGCCGTCAGCTCTCGATCTCTTAATCGAGAACAGTTTTTCCCTTTGTCTTTCCTACATGGGCATTTTTGAACTTTCCAGATCTACTCCAAGGTTAGATTCCGGTGAACTTGCCACAGGCTTGGGGGTGGTAGCACGTTTCTCCAGTGACAGGCTATACAGTGGCCCTTGGGAAAGTTATGCAGACTAACCAGCAAATAGCCTTAAAACTCTGATCACTGAATAAGAACTCGGGTTTGCTTAGCAGCCGAATGGATTAGTAATTGACCAAGTAAAGAGGTAGCTTGGAGCTGTGCTAACTGCATCCAGTGTCACCGACAGTTTTATATGCTCGCTCACTTGAACAGATTTCCAGTCTCCTCAAAACTAAATCAAAGGAACCCAAGGTTGCTTTACCTTGTCTTCTGACATTGTGTGTGTGGAGTTGTCCTCTTAGTCCCAGGTCCTGTACTGAATGTGGGTGAGTAGCTGACCAGCCAGAGTCCTCAGCTGCCTGGTTATACATTGTAGGAGGAGGAGCAAGCAGAGTTTAGTTCTAACCTTCACCAAGGTTAGAGTATTGATGAGATCCAATCAATATGCCCTTTACCTCGGTGACCTGTGGCTTGAGTGTCTCTGTTCCCCAGGAAAGAAATGAGAGTAGGTATAAGTCACAGAGGCAGGCGCATGTTAAGGGCTGATCAGTGTGGCAGAGGAGCAGCCCGTGGGGTGTTCCGTAGAAGCTGAGATAGGCTGTGTTGTGGGAAGACAAGGGCAGGCGTGTGGAGGGTGCGCTGCAGTGTGCTCTGCAGAGAGCCAGTACTGTGGGCCTGTGCTGCCAAGACGGGCTTTGTGGTTAAAGACTGTGGAGACCTCAGTTACCTGAACGAGCTTTGGAGAGTTGTGTGCTTGGGTTTGAATCACAGTATTTTACTGAGGGGGACCTTAAGAAAGGGAGTCACTGTGACTTTTCTGCATCTTAGGTTTGTGTTGTTGCTTGTTTTTTGACCTGATAAAAAGGAGATAAATGTGCACACACTTTGTTTTGTTGAGGAGATAACATGTATGTGTTTGGCACAAAGTAAACTCTCAATTGATGGTGGCGACACATTTTCTATTGTTATTATTAATTCAGTGCGTTTCAACATGTGTTTGCAGAACCAGATGTGGCACACATCTGTAATGTTAGCACTGCCACCACAAGAGGACTGTGAGTTGGAGGCCCATTGGATTACATGAGAGTTGTCGGCTAGCCTTGGCTACACAGAGAGACCCTGATTTGGGGAGAGAGTGCACTTTGTATGATAGCCTTGGGTTCTCAATGGACTCGGCTTATGTGTCTTCAGCCTGTTTCTTTCTAGGAATCCCCTATGACATCTGGTCCAAAAATGATGGAGGAGATAGCAAGTTAGTTTAGCTTTCACTGTGACTGACAGCTGTGCATCCTGGGTTCCTCAGACATCACATGGAGCAGTTCACAGCAGAGGAACTGTAAGAAGCAACAGCAAAAGGACAGGAACCAGGGTGGGGAGGAACTGCACTGAATTTGCCTGACATTCCCCTCCTCTCCTCATTTCTCATTTCCATCCCCCCCATGTGTGTTATGTATGCACGTGTGTGTACTCCTCTGTGCAGAGCCCAGGGACTGATGCTGAGTATCTCCCTCTATTACTCTCTACCTCGCTATTTGAGACAGGACCCCAGAGAACTTGAAAGCTCCTGGTATTCACCCCATCCACCCCAGTGCCATGCCTAGACCTTTTATGTGTGTTGGGACTTGAACCCAGGCCCTCTGGTTTTCACAAGTGTTCTTACCCACTGAGCTATCTCTTCAGACCCTCATTTCTGGAAGGTGAATACACGCGAAGCAACCAGTTTTAGGAAACAAATAATTAAATTCAAAGCCCAAACTTCAGCGGACCTCAGCACGGTTGTATTCTCTAACGTGCGGCAGATGAGACGCAGCCCCCTCTTGCGAGGACTTAAAGTGAGGACACAACCTGCTGAGTCTCGGAAGGCAGGCGCATGAGGGCTGATAACGTGTCATTAATCTTTACAGAGTTCCTTTCTGAGCCAGCCTCTGTCAGCACTTCCCGGGGCTTGACTGGTTTAATCATCGAGTGTTCCAGGTGGTGGCGCTAGCTCGTCTTTGGCACCAGGCCTTACAGCGCCCCATGATGTGCTGCCCCGGGAGTCCTGTCCTCAGCACCACGGATGGCCCTGAGAGGAGACGCCTTGGCTGACTTGGCTCAGTACAAAACACGCCGGTGCTGCTGTCAGCAAGGAGAGCTGCCCTGCGTTGCTTTTCTGCCTTTGTCTTCTGAAGTCTGCTTTGAAGTAATGGCGTTTGTCTTCCTTGTAGCTGTGGCTGGGAGTCCACCACTACTGCGCTTCTCCAGCCCGGTGCCCAGGGATATTGCTCCTCCCCCGTTGGAGATGCGACTCATCTCGACTATTCAGCAGCTGGGGGTGGGCTAAAACCTACCTGCAGGTTGAGGATGGAGGGAGCATACTGCACAGGTTGATTATGGCAGGGGGACTCAGACTGCAGACCGGCCTCATGCTGAGCGGCTGATGTAGCTTCAGGGCGCTCTGAGGAGCTGTGGGCTTCTGTGGGATAAAGTCTGGAAATGAAACCTGGCCTTTTGCACTTTGCCCTGAGATGACGTCTACTCGCTGAGTGCTCATAATTATTCAGAGATTCCCTGCAGCACTGCCAAAGCAGCCTTGCTTGTTTCCATCTGTCTTAGGGCCCCGTGCAGAGTTTTCAGGCAGACACAACCAGTATTGGGTACCAAGGATTGGGTTCAGGTCCTGGTATTTGCAGAGCAATGCTCATACCCACTAGGCCGTCTCCCCAGACCTGGCTTTACACTTTTAAACCTTTCGGGTCACATTCTGATTACATCATTAATTAAGAGAGGAAATGCCAAGAATTGTAAATGATGACCTCATTTCCCTCTCGACCCTTTTAGTAAAGTGAGAGGAGTTAGTTTTTGTTTTTGTTTTCTCTATAAATGAGAGGAAATGGCCCAGAGCGTTCCTCTGCTGCATTCCTCTCCGATGGAGTCAGGTGCCCGTAAGGGCAAAAGGCACGCCTGCGAACTTGGCCAAACCAAGAGGGCAAGGGCTCACGGTAAGAGCTCAGTCCTGAAGGCTGGGTCCCCCTGCCTGGCCTCCCTGGTCCTCTGGTTCAACTGCACTTTCTTGATGTAGAAGTCAAGATTGATTTTAAAAGTTAAATCACATCATGAATCCTGCTTGCAAGTCCCCAGAGCTCTAGCATCCCCGGCCAGCAGGGAGCTCTTCCTCTGCTCTGTGGCCTGAGAGGCCCTCTTGAGGTAGGTCTGATTCTGAGGCTGTCTTTCCTACTCAGGACTCAGCCATCTGCCTCCGGTTTGTCTGTCATAGTACTGGGAAGACCCATAGCAGCCATGGACACGCAGGACCTTGTAGACCATGAGAGTGGCTAGAACCCACGTGAATGGCAATGGGAAATCACCAGAGAGAACAGACGGGCTACGATCCACTGTTTGTTTTAAGAGTACTTCTGTTGGAGCTCTTCTTTTTTGCTGTTGTTGGGGTTTTTTGTTGTTGTTTTTGGTTTGTTTTTTTGTTTTCTTTACCATATCTGACTGTTACAGTCAGTGCTGGAGCTCCTCTTTCTGATGGCTGGGAACGTGACTCAGTGGACAGAGTGCTTGCCTGGTTGCACAGAGCTTCGGTTAGAGATGATCCCCAGCACCTCAGAAACTGGCTCTGGTGGCACATGCTTGTATCCCCATGCCCCGGGAAGCAGAAGCAGGAGGGTCAGGAGTTCAAAATCATCCTCAGCTATTTAGGGAGTTCCGGACCACTTAGAGTACATGAAGCCCTGTCTCAAAAAACGGTAAGAACCCCCAAATAGAACAAAAAGATAATCCCCGTTGTTGTGTGAAGAGTGGATTGGATGGGAGCATCAACGAAAAGGAAAGACAAGTGCATTGTGACGACTCAGGCTTGCTTCTGGCTGCAGAACTAATGGTACTTCTCTAAGTAAAAAACTCAAGGTATATTTGGGTGTTCAAAGAAAATGGTATTTGCATATAACTGCTTTTAGGAGAACTAGGGATGGGAGATGACAAGTCACTTTCTTGCTTGCTAACCTGGGGTAACAGACACATTTACAATTGGAGCTGCTAGAGGTTCAATCATCTGAGTAGTGATCCAGAGCTCCCTCCGGGACCCCATAAAAATGAAGCAGATGCACTTTGTTCCACTTTGTAAGAGATGAAACTTTTTGAGGTATTTACCAGTCTTCATGCAATTTGAGACAACATGGAGAACTCATGTGCACTTTGCCCTGGTTCCCCTTATAACAAACATCATGTAAGACCATGGCTATAGATCATGACCAGGTTATTAGTATGAGTGGCCAGGGTCCAGTTCACCCCTGGAAACACAAGGATCCCCAGCCTGTCTTCTGTAGCCATGCCCATGTTCCTCTTACACTTCCAGACTCTTCAATCCGGGCAATCACCCTCTTTTCTAGTTGTATGATTCTACCATCTTGATTGTGGAGATTTAAAACCTAGGAGAACATCCAGCTTTACTCAAGATCTGCCAGTGGAGATGCAAGTCTCATCTAGAGATGCCTTCACAGAGGCATCCTGAACAATGTTTGACTGACAATTTGGACGTTTATGATCTAGGCAAGTTGTCATATAAAAATCATCATTATCAGACGTTGTGTTTGCTTTTTGAACTCCGCAGAATTCCCTCCAGAGCTACCCCACTTCTGTGTGTCAGCAGTTCCCACTGCTGCCTAGTATGCCATGGTATAGATATGGTATAGACACACTGCTGTTGATGTGTCCTTGATGTACATCTGAAATATTTCCAAAATTTGGTGGTTAAGAATAGAGCTGCTATATACTTCATTTAAAAATATCCTTTGTGTGAACATCTACTTTCTTTGGAAAAACATTGTTGTGGAGTTATATGCTGGTTATATATTTCCCAGCAAAAATGATTGAGTGTCCTCATTTCTTATATAACCTTACTAAAACTTGATATTGACTTAAAAAATTCAGCCTTTCTGAAGTATGTGTAGTGATGTCTCATTTTGGTTTTAATTATAATTTTTTATTTTATTATTATTTTGTCCGTATGGGTGTTTTGCCTACATGTATCACCCAATGCATGACTGGTGCCTGTGGAGGGAGGCTAGAGAGGGTGTTAGTCCTGTGGAACTGGAGTTACAGACAGTAGTGAGCTACCATGTGGGTTTTTGGAGTTGAACCTGGGTCTTCCGAAAGAGAAGCCAGTGCTCTTGATCACTAGCCATTTCTCCAGCCCCCTAATTAGACTTTTCCAAGGCCAGGGATACCGAATATGTTGTCCTTGACTTGACATCTGTCTATCTTCTTTGGTCATTTTCTGTTAAGAAAGCA